TATACCCTTTCCCCATCACATAGCCTTACTTTGTCACCTACATTCACCTCAAGCCTATCCAGTTCAGCCATGTTGAAGGCACTATGATGTCTTAATCATGTGAAGGATATACCACTAGTGGAATATATGATGCCTTAATGGTGAAGGCAAGAAATATGAATATCTTAATAGTGAAGTAGTCATGATGGTAAGGCATATGATGTCTTAATAGTGAAGGCATATGATGCCTTAATGGTGAAGGCGTATGATGTCTTAATAGTGAAGACATATGATGTCTTAATGGTGAAGGCATATGATGTCTTAATGGTGAAGGCATATGATGCCTTAATAGTGAAGGCATATGATGTCTTAATGGTGAAGGCGTATGATGCCTTAATAGTGAAGGCGTATGATGTCTTAATAGTGAAGACATATGATGTCTTAATAGTGAAGGCATATGATGCATTAATGGTGAAGGCATATGATGTCTTAATAGTGAAGACATATGATGTCTTAATGGTGAAGGCATATGATGCATTAATGGTGAAGGCATATGATGTCTTAATAGTGAAGGCATATGATGCCTTAATGGTGAAGGCGTATGATGTCTTAATAGTGAAGACATATGATGTCTTAATGGTGAAGGCATATGATGTCTTAATGGTGAAGGCATATGATGTCTTAATAGTGAAGGCATATGATGTCTTAATAGTGAAGGCATATGATGCCTTAATAGTGAAGGCGTATGATGTCTTAATAGTGAAGGCATATGATGCCTTAATGGTGAAGGCGTATGATGCCTTAATAGTGAAGACATATGATGTCTTAATAGTGAAGGCATATGATGCATTAATGGTGAAGGCATATGATGTCTTAATAGTGAAGGCATATGATGTCTTAATAGTGAAGGCATATGATGCCTTAATAGTGAAGGCGTATGATGTCTTAATAGTGAAGGCATATGATGCCTTAATGGTGAAGGCTTATGATGCCTTAATAGTGAAGGGATATGATGTCTTAATAGTGAAGGCATATGATGTCTTAATAGTGAAGGCATATGATGTCTTAATAGTGAAGGCATATGATGTCTTAATAGTGAAGGCATATGATGCCTTAATGGTGAAGACATATGATGTCTTAATAGTGAAGACATATGATGTCTTAATAGTGAAGACATATGATGTCTTAATGGTGAAGGCATATGATGCATTAATGGTGAAGGCATATGATGTCTTAATAGTGAAGGCATATGATGTCTTAATAGTGAAGGCATATGATGTCTTAATAGTGAAGGCATATAATGGTGAAGGCATATGATGCCTTAGTGAAGGCATATGATATGATGTCTTAATAGTGAAGACATATGATGCCTTAATAGTGAAGGGATATGATGTCTTAATAGTGAAGGCATATGATGCCTTAATGGTGAAGGCGTATGATGCCTTAATAGTGAAGACATATGATGTCTTAATAGTGAAGGCATATGATGCCTTAATGGTGAAGGCATATGATGTCTTAATAGTGAAGGCATATGATGTCTTAATGGTGAAGGCATATGATGCCTTAATAGTGAAGGCATATGATGTCTTAATGGTGAAGACATATGATGCCTTAATAGTGAAGGCGTATGATGTCTTAATAGTGAAGACATATGATGTCTTAATGTGAAGGCATATGATGCATTAATGGTGAAGGCATATGATGTCTTAATAGTGAAGACATATGATGCCTTAATAGTGAAGGCGTATGATGTCTTAATAGTGAAGACATATGATGTCTTAATGGTGAAGGTATATGATGTCTTAATAGTGAAGGCATATGATGTCTTAATAGTGAAGGCATATGATGCCTTAATGGTGAAGGCATATGATGCCTTAATAGTGAAGGCATATGATGTCTTAATAGTGAAGGCATATGATGCCTTAATAGTGAAGGCGTATGATGTCTTAATAGTGAAGACATATGATGTCTTAATAGTGAAGGCATATGATGTCTTAATAGTGAAGACATATGATGTCTTAATGGTGAAGGTATATGATGTCTTAATAGTGAAGGCATATGATGTCTTAATAGTGAAGGCATATGATGCCTTAATGGTGAAGACATATGATGTCTTAATAGTGAAGACATATGATGTCTTAATGGTGAAGGCATATGATGTCTTAATGGTGAAGGCATATGATGTCTTAATGGTGAAGGCATATGATGCCTTAATAGTGAAGGCGTATGATGTCTTAATGGTGAAGGCATATGATGCATTAATGGTGAAGGCATATGATGTCTTAATAGTGAAGACATATGATGCCTTAATAGTGAAGGCGTATGATGTCTTAATAGTGAAGGCATATGATGCCTTAATGGTGAAGGCGTATGATGCCTTAATAGTGAAGGCATATGATGCCTTAATGGTGAAGGCTTATGATGCCTTAATAGTGAAGGGATATGATGTCTTAATAGTGAAGGCATATGATGCCTTAATGGTGAAGGCGTATGATGTGAAGGCATATGATGTCTTAATAGTGATGGCATATGATGTCTTAATGGTGAAGGCATATGATGCATTAATGGTGAAGGCGTATGATGTCTTAATGGTGAAGGCATATGATGCCTTAATAGTGAAGGCGTATGATGTCTTAATAGTGAAGACATATGATGCATTAATGGTGAAGGCGTATGATGTCTTAATGGTGAAGGCATATGATGCATTAATGGTGAAGGCGTATGATGTCTTAATGGTGAAGGCATATGATGCATTAATGGTGAAGGCATATGATGTCTTAATAGTGAAGGCATATGATGTCTTAATAGTGAAGGCATATGATGTCTTAATAGTGAAGGCATGTGATGCATTAATGGTGAAGGCATATGATGTCTTAATAGTCAAGGCATATGATGTCTTAATAGTGAAGGCATATGATGCCTTAATAGTGAAGGCGTATGATGTCTTAATGGTGAAGACATATGATGCATTAATGGTGAAGGCATATGATGTCTTAATAGTGAAGACATATGATGCCTTAATAGTGAAGGCATATGATGCCTTAATGGTGAAGGCGTATGATGCCTTAATAGTGAAGACATATGATGTCTTAATAGTGAAGGCATATGATGTCTTAATAGTGAAGGCATATGATGCCTTAATAGTGAAGGCATATGATGCATTAATGGTGAAGGCATATGATGCATTAATGGTGAAGGCATATGATGTCTTAATAGTGAAGGCATATGATGCCTTAATGGTGAAGGCGTATGATGCCTTAATAGTGAAGACATATGATGTCTTAATAGTGAAGGCATATGATGCCTTAATAGTGAAGGCGTATGATGTCTTAATGGTGAAGGCATATGATGCCTTAATAGTGAAGGCATATGATGTCTTAATAGTGAAGGCATATGATGCCTTAATGGTGAAGGCGTATGATGCCTTAATAGTGAAGACATATGATGTCTTAATAGTGAAGGCATATGATGCCTTAATAGTGAAGGCGTATGATGTCTTAATGGTGAAGGCATATGATGCATTAATGGTGAAGGCGTATGATGTCTTAATAGTGAAGACATATGATGTCTTAATGGTGAAGGTATATGATGTCTTAATAGTGAAGGCATATGATGTCTTAATAGTGAAGGCATATGATGCCTTAATAGTGAAGGCATATGATGCCTTAATGGTGAAGGGGTATGATGCCTTAATGGTAAAGGCATATGATGCCTTAATAGTGAAGGCATATGATGCCTTAATAGTGAAGGCATATGATGCCTTAATGGTGAAGGCGTATGATGCCTTAATAGTTAAGGAAAATGATATGATGTCTTAATAGTGAAGGCATATGATGCCTTAATAGTGAAGGCGTATGATGCCTTAATAGTGAAGGCATATGATGCCTTAATAGTAAAGGCATATGATGCCTTAATAGTGAGGACATATGATGTCTTAATAGTGAAGGCATATGATGCCTTAATAGTGAAGGCATATGATGCATTAATGGTGAAGGCATATGATGTCTTAATAGTGAAGACATATGATGCCTTAATAGTGAAGGCGTAAGATGTCTTAATAGTGAAGACATATGATGTCTTAATGGTGAAGGCGTATGATGTCTTAATAGTGAAGACATATGATGCCTTAATGGTGAAGGCGTATGATGCCTTAATAGTGAAGGCATATGATGTCTTAATGGTGAAGGCGTATGATGCCTTATCAAGTAGCTAGTGCACCAACTCTTAGTAACGATAACATTCTAAGCTGTCAGTTTATCATTCACTTGTCCCTATAGTCAATGCTTAAAAACTGTTTTGTTTGATATTTATTGCATGACAAATGGGCAAGCATGTGTATGAATATTCATTAACACTCAATTCAGTTATCAAATCTCGTATATTTTTTAGCGGAAAAAGAAAGATAGAATCAAAATATTTTCATTTTAATTTCCATGATATTATTTAAGAAAATATGAGTAAAATGCATAATGATGGTTATAAGCAATAGCGGTTCATTATGTTCGTATTATCATATATTTTTCAAAACTGTTAACATGCTTCATAAATCACAGTAGAAAGCACCTGTTATTGGTTTTTTACTTAACGTACCTCGGTTTTCTTTTGTACTGATATTTAATCTTTTACACTGCTTTACACTTATAAATAGCAAGCTTGAAGTTCACTAAGGTCGCTATACAAACATACAGTCCTCCATATAAGGAAACCCTAATTTACATATGTATAGATATATTATTTAAACTGGACTGTTATGAAGTACGCCATATAACATAGATATTGCAAAATGTTTGCAAAATCATCGTTAACAATTTTATTTCTATGTCTTATATTTGAATGTGAATCGACAAAGAATAAAAATGATTCAATTAAATTGTGGTATCCCTGTCGTAAAATATTTGTTTAGTAAACGACCTTGAGACAACTCATACTACACCGTGTGTTATTTGTATACACACGTAGGAAAGAGATCTGGGTCACCGAGGCGATGGACTGTTGTCAACTATGAAACATCTTCAACTATAACTTATGAATTTATGAACTCTTGAAGATGATGTATGCTTATATGAGTTGGTAATTTCCATGGGGTATTTTAAAATCGTCATTGTACAATCTCACCTCGCTACTATTAAAGAAGGGAATATCTAAGGTTAAGGATTTCCATAATTTTGTTTGTGACGTCAGTATCCTGGCCGGTGCACTCATCAGTCAATCTGGAACATACATATGCTGGTGAGTACTTAATAATGGATTATATTCATCGATACACTTTTTTCTGATTTAATCAGAATGAAAAAGTATACCATCTAACGACTTGAAATTATAAGTATCTGAAAGACAAATTGTTTTACAATGATTACAGAAACCGAAAGTAGATTAAGATTAAGGTGTCATGTTATTGTAAATGTTGCGGCCAATGATGTTCTAGTTTCTTGATATATTTTTCAGTTCAACACAACAACATTTTTCATAAAAGAGGTCAAAATTGAAATAATACATTATTAGATATCCATGTGCTTACCACACCGGAACTTATATTACCGTGCATTTTTATTTCCAAGAATTGCAATTCTAGATTATCTTAGGTTAATCAGGTTGAACCATCATTTGTCTTTCGTTCCATACAAAACTGGAACTACATATGGTATATTGTTCTAACACGATTCCGTGTTATTTCAGTGATTGTAGTACAGAAATGTCACGTCCAGGTCCTTCCTACGCTAATGTTGCTCCACAGCCTCGGGACAGAGAAAGAAATTTGCCTAGCAATGAACCTTGCAAGTGTACAATTTGTCATGATGGAGAATCATGTAGTAGTGATTATCTCAGGGCAATATCAGATGAAAAACCGCCAAGGCCATGTCCGAGATTTACAAACAAATTTTCCCCTGAAAAATCATTCAGTGATTCAGCGGTTCCATGCAAAACACCAAAGCATGATACTAAGACAATGAGGATTCTTGATATTCCGTTACCTTTACCAACGAAACAAAGTAAAAACAATTCTAGTGATTCATCCGCACGTTTGGTGAAGACAGCTCATAATATTCCAACTCATCGCAAACCATCTGACGTCCTACCTGTTCCTAATGACAGGGTGTCTACTCAGCCCCTAATACCCGATCATCGGATCAATCATACGTGTTCGATAGGAAAAGATAAAAATCAAGATGAATTATCAGGATTCGAAATAACGCTACCTCGGAGGAAAAGTGATTTAAGAAAAAAGAAGAAACAAGAGCCAATGAAAGTGCATTTGTGGATGAAAATTGGAACTATAGTTTTATCTTTGTTATTCATTGGATTGTTATATTTAGTAACAAATAGAGTGCGAGAGGTTTTCTTTGTATTACATCAACATGAAAGACAAATACAACATATTTGGAATTTTTCCGAACCAGAAGAATCCAAACTTGATACGACAGTTTGTTTTCCCTGTGATCTGACTCAAGAGTTTAGGAGTGAAACATTGAAACAAAAAGAATTCGAGATGTACGGTTTTAAAACAGCTGAGAAACATCACTGTTGTATGGATCAGCTAGGACACACAAAGTGGATGATTAATATGGTAAGTCTTTGTTCTGATATCTTTAAGTAACAATTGTTTATCACGTACTATTGATGCTATAGAAACTGTTATAATAAGAAGATTTTGTGTACTTGTAATCACCTGACTAAGGGAAATAACTCAATATTAGCTAATGTTTATAGTACAAGCTCTGCATGGCTTTAGGTATGTGTACAGAATATTGAAGAAGATACGATGTACTTAATATTGATTATCGCTTATTGTATAGCGTTATATGTGCCTTGCATTGCTAAATTAATGAATACTCATGCATTTTTCATTCATATTGTTTACATTGATGCATTTCAATAATGCAAAATGGTTCAATACTTGTAAAAGAATGCAGTGGAACTTTCGTAATCTTATTTCTAGATGAGCGCAAATGAGATCTTGGAACATACTTCGAAACAGAACAAGCATGTGTGTTCAGTTAAGTCAACACAAGTAAATATCCAAAGCCAGTGTTCAGTGAATGGTACGTATTTGAAAACCTGTCAACAGTAATGACCAGGCTTTTGGTTTTATTCGTCATATGTAAATCTGTCACGGCCTAGCTTTATAGGCCAGAAGCATCACTGACAAGTCTTAGTAATGTCGTATCTAAGACTCCATTTAGTTCATGAATTGGCTCTTCAATACCCAACCTAATTTTTTATTGAAAGGTGTAAATCACTTTTACAATATTGTATATGATTGAAGCAGGTTTGGTTGTGTATATGTAGTGTGAATATGTTAAGGTGTTATTCTATACTAAGAATGTAGCCTGGAGTTTGATAATGAGAATTTCTATTCAGAATTCATACATCTTTCTATTTCTTCTCATTAGGTACGGCAATTCTACAAATGAACAATACACATTTCAAGAAAAGTTGTAAAGGAGCTGGGATAGAGGTTGCAAAAAACTTTTTACAGGCCAATGAGACGGGACTATATATTGTATATATGACAATGACAGTTACTTTAAACCCTGAAATGAGCACATGTAAAAGCAACAGAAACACCGGAAACAAGGAAATAAAAGCACATCTTCATTGTGCAAAATCTAGAAGACCGAAATGTATCGAAATGGAAACCGTCAGTACAACCAGAATAACTGCAGATTCATATCACGTCTTCAATTTTTTCACGTTGAAACACCTTCAAGCAGGAGAGAAGTTTTTTCCTCAACTGTCCCACCCGTCGTTACTTTACTCGATGAAATACGGAAATTATATCGGAGTTGTACAAGTGTGACGAATGGTCAAATGGACTTACCATGACTGAAAAATATAGGAACACTTTGTGACATTGACGTGGAAAATTACTTATCGAATGATATAAACATAGGAAATAGGTATCATTTCATCCGATATCGTTTAGTAATTTACCTTCTGATGACATTGAGTTAGTAGCCTGCCTAAATAATGTTATTATGGACTATCTGTTCCTTGTTGGTAAGAGAGTAAGATAGGGACGGCCGGAGTACAGAATATGTTGAAAGAAAAGTGCGTATACCTTATATTGCTTGACAAAATTAAGATAGAAATTTCGAAGTGTTACATTCATAAGTGGGCAATAAAACACAGCAAATGTAATAACAGAACAAAATTCGATTTTAAACTATCGTCACGATTTTAAGATTTTAAGCAATAGAAGGTATCTTTATTTTGTGATATATCCATTTTGTGCCAATAACTATATTGCATAGTCGTCAGCTCATTTCTTACAGTTAATGAAATTGTATATAAATTTATATATATATATATATATATGTATAGTAGCATATTATTTTTGTTAAACATATGAAAGCTCGCTTGACCTGATAACTGTATGAACGAAATAAAACATGCTTGATATCATTATTAAATATACCATAATGTTAAATTCCCTTGGTATAAATATATGGATATGAAAATGTAGATAAATACATTAATTGCCAATTAAAAAAGTTTGAAATTTTGAATTTCAAAAATTTCGGTTAGATATAGATCCTGTATTCATTTGAATACTGTTTGGTTATGAAATTCCATATAGTATGAATAACTACTTATCATATATAATACACGACTCAAATGACTTGTTAAAGTGTTAAAAAACTATGCCATGCACAGTGAATTGACCATACAAATGGCAACTGTATTTACACCAAGATGCATCTATATGAAGCTCAATTGCTTCATCGCCTTTCCTTAAATATTGATTAATGCAAATGTAGTAATGTCTTGTCTTTTAACCTTCCATGCTACAATGACAAGTTAGTAATTGATATATGCATATACATGTTATTTCTAGGTATAAAGCAGTCAATAGAAACCGACAATGATTATATTTCATTTTACCTAGCTATGTAGTTGCTATGTAAACGCGTTGACTAGATGAGAGCACGTGCGATGGCAAAGTTTTTAAATGTGCTCACGATCATTGTGTTTTCATGAACAAAATCAAAGATTGAATTCTAGCAGGAATCGCATTGTATGAATAAGATACTTGGCTGTTTTGGTAAAAAGAATAATTGAATGTTAAAAAAGTCCTTGACTAAATGATGGTGGTTTATATGTCGCTTTTTCATTATTTTTCTGAAAATAATAACAAGAGGAAAGTTCGTTTTGTCATGAAATTAACTAGGCCTGTTAAGCAGTCAGATACATATTTCTTAACAATTAACCAGAAATCCCACAACTCAAGCCTGGAGATCACGGCCCTCTGTGATAGTGAAATCTGTGAAGCATCGTAAATCCCACAACTCAAGCCTGGAGATCACGGCCCTCTGTGATAGTGAAATCTGTGAAGCATCGTTTTCCACCAAATACATTAGATGTTCTTGACTTGGTTAAACCTCTTTCTAGTTTTTAACAGCATTAACAGTAATGAAACAAAATGTTTCCTTTAATTTTACTTTTGGATAAGTCGATGATGTCCGATTTGAACGCCAATAAATTATTGGTCGTTATCATCAGATACGCTGATCAGAATTTGAAAAGACACTATAGACTCTTTCACATCATCCGTTCACCTCAACCTTTTTCTACAACGAAACTAACACCAATGACTTTTCATAGAGCTACGCATTACAGTGTAATGATTCTTAATGTTTTATGTTTTAGACAGCATATACACTGCTGTCTTATAATGTTTTGATATTGCAGTTTATTCCATAGCTTAAAAGGTTTTCATGCAAGATATTGACCACTGACAAATAAAGTAATAATAATAAAAATGAAAATATTTCCTTTTATGGTATAAAATTATGAAATTTATTTGATTATGGGGATACTGCGCCTCCTCGTCTAGATTTAAACTTTTCTTTCGCCCACTGTGGAGTTTTATCAATCGCCTCCGAGGCGTCAAATTTAAGGTCCTTAGCATCATCCTTAGCGTCCTAGAAAGACGAAACAGCCGTATAATTTATCATTGGTTGGCTTTACAACCTCCTGCGACCTCTGTGTAAATCCTTTCGTGGTGTGCCCTTGATACATGGAATTAGAATTTTATATTATGTGAAAAGGGCCGTACTTTTTGTTTTATTTTACAGTTGTTTCGTTTCAGCAGATTGTTTAAATGCATCAAAGCATGAAACACATAATTTGAACCACCCCCCCCCAACTCCCCAAATAAAAAAAACACAAACAAAAGAATGGGGCATCATTTCCAGATGTGATAATCGTGCCACAGAGTCAGACGGCTTGGACAAAGTATTTATTTTCCCGGGCTACGTTAGGTGGCCGCTTGCACCTGATAATACATTCCTGTTTTGTGTGCACAAAGAATGACATAATCATTTATATATAGCCATATCTCTCTACTGATAGGGAGCTAGTCGAGGTACTAGGCTTGCGTCGGCCACGGTAATGAGTTCGGAGAAATCTCATGCACTCACTTTCGGTCTCGCTGGATGTGAAGGCGGTATAAGGGATTACATACTAACACCTTGAGAGTTTGGGGTCCTACTTAGCACTTAATGACTCGTCCTGATAGCACAAAACCACATGTATCGCTGCATTGCAAAGACTTCTCACAGAATAATGATGAATTAATACATTAATCAACATGGACAGTTTTCAAACAAGCTGCATGCTAAACGGGATGATTTAAATTTCTCCGTTGTAGATTTTCCATTACTGGATAACTATACACCTGAATACGTGACCTTTTGTGTAAACATAGTTAATATCACGATTTTGTGTTAGATGTCGGCAACCGAAAAATATGCTCAAAACACATGGAAAAATAGTCAACTTCTTTGTGCGATTTATAGGTGGACAAGCTTGATGCTCGTTAGTATACCTGGTGGTTCTGTTTTGCTTACCTTTCTCAATTGGGAACCTGACATTTTTGTACTTGAATTGACAAGTTTACAAGGGAATGGGGTTTGGAGGTTTCAAGATGAAGCAAATGTTGCTTACCCTTCCGCAACACCTGTTTTATTATCATTGTTAAGTTTGCAGATGTCTCCGTGTCAATCGTAGACGGCCTTTACACAGTGAGTCATATTTAAGTTAGTATTTGCTGTTTACTTCATACTTGGACACATCTTAAAGAGATGAATATGAATTATGAGCATAATTCATTTATAAAGTTTTTCTATCAATCATCATACCTTTAACATAAAATAATGTTGTTAAGGACACTTAACCTTTACTTCGTCATTATTTTCTTAAGAAAATTCGTAGAACAATTAGGTAACAGCTTATGCTTAATGAATGTTAAGAGATATGATATTCGCACCAACATATTAGATCATATGAACCTTCACAAAGATATGGCTACAAGTTCGCAAGCAAATAAATTGCTGATTTTATTCTAAATTGAAAAAGGGATATCAATTGCCAAATACAAATACCATTTTTGAGAAGACATCGTTTTAATAACTGATAATATTCCGTTTGCTTACTAAGTATACAAAGGATTTTCAAATTAAAGTTTGTCTTTAAGATGTGACTTTTCTGTCAGCCCGTATATGATATACATACTTTTTTTAATGATAGAATGATCATATGCTTATATCATATTTATTGTTTCATGATTGAAATAAAAGTTTTAGAATAAAATAATTAAAAAAAAGAAAAAATACATAAATAAAAACGATTAAACCATAACATCAACACTATTATCCATCACTCGGATCAATGTAAGTTTTATTTTTCGTCCTACAGTCTTGACTGTATTGTATTTCTAAAGTGAATATTTACATTAAGTCTGTGGTTAGCCACATTAACCACATACCCGTTGTCCCTGCCACGTGTATATTTAAACACACTTACCACATAAAGTGCACCTGCCACGTGTATGCTAACACCTGGCTACTGATCTATTTAGCAACAATAACAAAGAGCGGCAAAGGTTAAGGTATGTTGAAACCCGCTCACAATGCTCGTCATTTGGACAATTATTCTCGACATATAATGATAGAAACTGTTAAAATACCTTCATCTCAAATCAGTTTTTTTACAATTCAGTTGATATCATTTCCCTTTGCGTTCTGCTATACGATCAGTATTATCAGTGTACTATAGGACTACCCGGATTATGTTTGTGTACGTGAGTCATTTCAAGAAAGGTCAAGGCTCTATGCTAAATACAAAACACTGTGTTGTGGGCTGAACATTTCATATTTACATGTAGTTTCACATCTGGATATAGGTAGGAGATCATTACAACCTTGTAGGTTCCGATCGAATAGGTTAGATTTCAGTCTTAGTTTAAAACAATTTCATCTTAAGTACAGGTCTTGATATAAACGATTCCGTGCAATAGAGATATATAAGTAAAAATAAAAAAGAAACAGAAGAAATAGAAAATGTAAGAAATTCATATTTGTTTGGAAATCGGTTTAGTGTGTTGACCAAGTTTACATGTCGGGTGCCATCGTGGAAACAGAAGACGTTTACCCTTCTGGAACACCTGGTCTTATTCTCCTGGTGTACTTTTTTCAGGAATCTACTTTTGAGATTTTCTTTTGTTTATATTTTGTCCTAGTTTTATTTAACTTGAGTTTGGATTATGATATGTTGACATTATTGTTTTTGTTTTTTTTTGTTTTGTTTTTTTTCGGATGAAATGTGGTTAGCCGCTATAAATATTTTTTGTCGCCACTAAGCACCAGTCATTTTCATATATGCTTTTGTAATGCATGGGTGTGTATTGTACAGAAGATTCTCCTTTAAGATTGCAACAAATATATTACGTCATCTCACCGACAAGGTAAGAGGACTTAAAAAGACTCTGAATACTCTATACAAGGGGTCCAACCTAAACCGTAGGTCACGTGTGTTTGATACGTAATATATTTGTCAAATAAGTAGGAAAACCGACCTCGATACCAGTTTTGACTGTCAAAACACTGAGGTTTTTTCACGTTTATTTTTACAGGACTGGGTTATATTGTGAATTCGTTGCACGAATATAAAGATAAATTCCTCTAGATCCGAAACGCAATATTGATGTGATAAGGAACGTTCTCTGTAAGCAGACAAAACACTTATTTTACTCACCGCTGTGTCGTGAAGCGGATGGTCGCCGCCATTTTGGTTGTGACCGGGGATAGTTAGGCCGTGACCTACGGTTTGGGTTGGACCCCTTGCTATAAGAAACCCGAAGTGAGTGTTTGTGTATTATATTATTTCATTGCATAATATTTTAGCAATTATAAGAAGCTCTCAAATTGAAATTACTCCATTTTTATTAAATGACATTAACGACTATGCTATCAATACCCCTTCTGCTCGTCAGGAATATATATATGTATATGTACCGGGTTGTCAACACACACTTCAAACACAACTTCTGCCTTTATTACTCATTCATTTTTGGCTCTATCTTACTCTGAATCATGAAAAGGCGCTATCCACTTATGTGTCTTTTGTACAATCTTTCAGACAGCAGGTTGCAGACACTGCTGGTGGACTTAAAGCACCCGGGGTTTACCCTAACCTGCATGCCACGTTTTACTTCATCAAAGTTGCCGTGTCCTTAATATACACATGTACTTGAAGCTGTTCTAAAATTTTACCGTTTACTGCCTAGTTAATCACAAACTTTTTAACCTTCAGAGAAAAGCAACAAATATTAACAAAGATAATGGCTTCTCTCGAAAATTTCTTGAGTTACCAGTCGCAATCAATGGGCAAAGATACAAGGAATATTTGTACCTGTCCACACTGCTGTGATAAAGACTTAAGTGAAAATTCATTGGAATATCTCGGTTTTACCCCCACAAGACTACCTATTCGATGTCGACAGTTAACGGATGCATTTTCGCCGGAGAATAATTTTATTGAAAAGCCGATAGACGAAGCCGAGTCGGTATTAGACATGGGACAACTTGTCAAGTTTGGGCTAAGACCACCTCTTCCTGAACCATTGACATTAAACAACAATAGCGCAGTAATATTTTCGTCTTCTTCAGCATTACATGCAAAATATACACATTCCCAGTCATCGTCAGTTGATGAAGATGTTTCATATAGAAAATCGTGTAAGACATTTTCACTTCGATGTTGGTGCTATCAGCAGTGTGAGGAATTATCTCAACACGATTACAGCACGAAATGGAAAGATGGGTGTATACAAATAGGAACAGTTGCTCTCATTATTGTCTTGTTCGTGTTGGCGTGTGTTCTCGTAAAATGTCTATCGGACATAATGTGAGACTGTAGTAGAACTACAAGTTTAAAAGAAAATTACCCATAACTGTTTGATTTTCCTATTCTTTCGGCAACCATAGAATTGTTCTTCATAACGATGAATATTAAAAACTGTATTTGTGAAGATCTAAAACAGACACCGAACGCATTCGACATAAATATTAAAGATGTTTACAGTGTTAACCACATCTTAGCTATTGAATATTCCACTGCCGGATTTAGTTGTTTTGTCACTTTCATACATGAATGATTATCCTTTTTTATACATGGTAAAACTTATCTAATATTGTCTATAGTAAAGCTTATTTTTTCGCTTTTGTTTTTGTTTTGTCTATTTCATCAGTGAACACAGATGCGAGCTGTAACGAACTCACTAATACTGAAAGAATGAATTATACATATGACTGAGACTGGGTAATGTTTTATTTTCTTAGGTTTATGTTTTTATGTTCAAATATAGTTAGATAGTTTACGTTGCTTTTGACTCATTGTAAATGTAACAACTGTAACAAAATAGGGTTTAGACATGTTGTTACAAAATATAATTTTGATATAAGTGTATCTCAGATACATAAGTCAGTGATCTTTGACTGATTGGTTGTAGGATTAATTTTGTCAATATGTAACATCTGGTAGACTGGGTGTAATTATGACTGCACAAAGATATTTCGTAACTGTATTTACAGTGGACAGCACTGACATCTACTTCTCCCAGTTAACAAGTATTAGGCAGTTTAATGGCAGTCTAATAAACTGAAGTCCACCCTGGTAAGAAACTCAACCAATGGGGCATTAGATCGTGGCACTTTTATGACGAGCCCTATGGACAGAGCCTTACAGCCAGACAGAGATAGAGAGCGTACATGCCCTATGGACAGACGGGGAGATAACTCACTAACCATATGGACAGACAGGTCACGCCATGATGAAAAGTATGAGGAGTTGGTACTTTAGTGTATACCTTAGAAGTACTGTTTTTATACAGGGACAGTTCTGATACAAGACACAAAGCGAAGTACTGGTATGAGTACATGAACTCTGTATGTTGATGAGATGTTGTTCTTGTACATGTAACATTATTATTATTCAACATGTAATAGACATGGTTATTACCAACAAGTACGTGTGTTTACGCCTACTGTGTTAACCAGCTCGCGAATTCAGACAAAAGACAAAATTATTTCATGGTTGCTTGTCGTGTCATATGGGTACATATATCTGTAGGAAAGCAATTTCTAGATATACTTCGTAATTATTTCAAAATTTTACATTGCTTGTTTTTAATTCCGATTTAATGACGAGCGTTTTAATTGACTTATCATACAGTAATCATTCACGTAATTTGAACACGCCCTCTGTTCTATATCCCTACAGATTGCAAAGTAACAGTGTGAAAATTAATCACAATAGGAGGAACATTAGAATGTCAGTACCAATATTTATATATATACAGAGGTTGAAAGGTCACTGCGGCGTATGAATTTAGACCAGTCGTCCGACAGAGCATCCAAGAAGATAAACAAAAGTTGTTAAAGCAGCAGGATTTGAAATACATTGCGACATGTAGACTACCTTCTAAGCAAAACCATACAAACATGTTGCCATGGTTTACAAAGTTGATTAACGGAAATTTTGAGAGATTATAAAAAAGTTTTCATTTTGTACTTTTGACAGTCGGCTTACAAAAGATTTAAGTATTTAAAACAAACAAAACAGAAAAATTGAATGATTAGCATGACTCACAGTCTATATATATATTGAAAAACACGTTTCTTTCTTGCAGAACATATTCTGCAATGTGATATTAAAATTAAACTTCTCTATGTTTTTAGGAAAATTCGCGGGTTTTTTTTCTAGTTATATTAAAATACAATCTACAAGGAAGAGCACTTCTTACAATTGTTTGTAGTATATACAATGAAATGACCACAAATTCTCTAGAAAAAGTGACTGAATTAAAATACTGCTTATCTCCCTTTATATGTACTTAAAATTTTATGTGTATTTATAGCTTAATGGGGTACTTATAACTTTACGCGCTACAGTAATTCTTCCATATCCTAAATGTATATGTCCAGTCAAATTATGTATGCCACCAAGAAAATCTAAAAAAGCCCTTTTTCTTCCAGTTGCTTTCGGTTAGCTAATCATGTGTAAGTAGTAATTCCCAACGCTTTATTTATACCCTTACCAGGAAACAGTTATGTTTCTCGATATAAACGTTTGGGTCCCTGTGAGATAAGCAGACGGCGAAGTTTTGTTAAATAATTATCTTCCTTGTTGATAAAATATAGAATGAGTACCACAAATGTGTGCTACGACCGACTGAAATGTCTGTTTTGGACGAGTTTTGTGATCAACTTTATATTAGTAGCTGCCTTACTGATCCTCTTTATCATTCATCAACAACTACAAAACGGTAGTGTCACTGAGAATGTAACCTCAACATTAACAACAGGTGCCCTGCGGGACAGCACTGGTGAACTCTGTCTCCCCTGTGACTATCAAGGACAAACCCTTGACAACACTTTGTATGAAACTATATTGAAGACAGAAAATAACGATACTGTTTGCTGTCTGGCACGCGACGAAGACCTCCAAAATCTTATTCTTGAGGTGAGCATTCCTCTCTTGAATATCTGAAAAGCGAAGTTTTGTATTTTACATTTGTATACATATATCAGTTACATATAGCCAGTTATTGTCTGATGAATAATACACTTCTGTATTTTAGATCGTGCACACAAACAGGTACGACTGGCATCCAAGCAGAAGGACTTGTAAGTAATATCATTGTGATAATGAGATACAAGTTTTGATGTTTAAGTCAATAATCACTGCTCATTTGGGACAAATAGGTGACAAAGATAAGTATTAATTGATATTGAACATTGAAAGTAAAATATTAGAAGATCAAACATTCTTTTTATGTATTATCTGTATTACAGTGTTAAGACTTCAACAAAATAAAATATCAATTATTATAATATAATGTTTTTTATGTTTTTAGCCAATAAAGGAAACCTAAGGTGGTGGACAGAAAGAAATTACGCTGCACACCTGTACCGCAATGACCTCTACTTCGGTGAAGGTGATCAGTAGTATTATATTAATTTTTTTTTTTTTGCTTGTATGTTTATTTGTTTGGTAATTTTGTTTTTGGTTGTTGATTTTTTTCTGTTTTTGTTTATTCATTTGTTTTTGTAATAAAATAGAGCCATATTTCACAATTTAAATTTAAATAGGAAGAAAACAAAGTAAAAGCAACATGTAATGATCTTTTCTATATCACAAGGCGTATCATGGACACAAGAAGGCAAGAAAACGTCATTGTTACGAAATCTAACCTTAACTGATGAAGGAAGGCAGCTTGCTGTTCCCACAATGCCAGGCGCAGGAACTTACTTTGTTTATGCGCTGTACACGTTTGACTTTAGCAAGGCATCGCCCAACAGACCTGATCCCATTGGAGTCCATAGTATCTTCAAACACCGATCGGGGTTCATCAATGGTAAAAGGCAGCGGTTGTGGACAGCAAAGACTGGGGGCGCAAACACAGCGAAGAGGCAGACGAGTTTCTTGTGTGGTATTGTTAACATGAACATGCGTGATACATTAGAATCCGAGGCGTTTTCGTATATAGCAGGGGAAAAACAACTGACGTTAAATTACATTGACAGATCGCCATATTCCAACTATTTTGGAATGTTCAAACTCATCGAGTTTGCCTGACTAATTGTGTGTCATGAAAACAAATGTTTAGCAGAACTATTATTATTTTTTTGTGAAATGTATATTAACATAAATGTATGTTTTTTTGTATCTACTTACTCAACAATCAAGAAAAAAATAAAAAAAATAAATTCACATTTACTTATTAAGTTATCATTCATCATCAATCGTTTATGAGGTAGTGTAGTTTTAAACATCAACTCAGTTATAAACAATTCGTACGTGATCGTATGCTGTCATATCGTGTAATACACGTTTCTAATGATAGAATTCATTAAATAAGATAATAGTAATAATATCCTGGACGCAGGTTTATTAAGCCTATACATCCAGATCAGAGTTAAAAAGATTTATCATCCCGAATATGGATCAGTGTGTTATTGTATAGTTCATGATTATAAACACATTCAGTTTGCCTCCAATGATTCTCCAATCGGGATTCGAAAGTTTGGATTGTTGGTGACGTTACATCGGCATTAGGAAGTGAATTCCAGTTGTTTACCACTGTTTACCACTGTTTACCACCCGTTCACTGAAAGAATACTTCCTCAGATTTAGTCTGCTCCTTCTTTTTAAAAGTGGAAAACTGTGCCCTCTTGTTATCTTGTTATTGCTTTGTATCAGGAAATCCCCCGCGATAGCCCTATCATATTCTCCATGTGTTAAATTGTATACCTGAATCATATCTCCTCTCAATATTCTGTGCTTCAATGTCGCATATTTTCCAACTCATCTATGTCTTTTTGCAGATAGGGATTCCACACACAGGCCCCATATTCAAGGTGCAGTCGTACAAGCGCTTTATATAAAAGACAGAATTACTTTTTGTCTAAGTACGTGTATGTTCTTCGGATGACTCCCAATATTCTATTGGCTTTAACCTGTAACTGTTCTAAATGTAACCTGTAACTGTTCTATATGTTACCTGTAATTGTTCTGTATGTTACCTGTAATTGTTCTGTATGTTACCTGTAACTGTCCTGTATGTTACCTGAAACTGTTCTATATGTTATCTGTACCAGTACTTTATGTTACCTATAACTGTTCTATATGTTACCTGTAACTGTCCTATATGTTACCTGTAACTGCTTCATATGTTACCTGTATTTGTTCTATATGTTACCTGTAACCTATTTACATGTTACCTGTATTTGTTCTATATGTTACTTGTAACTGTTCTATATGTTACATTCTATATGTTACTAATATCATTCTAAATGCTTCCTGTCACTGTTCTGTATGTTACCTGTAACTGTTGTACTAGTTACCTGTAACTGTTCTATATGTTATCTGTAACTGTTCTTAAAGTTACCTGTAACTGTTCTATATGTTACCTGTAACTGCCTATATGTTACATATAACTGTCCTATATGTTACCTGTAACTGTCCTATATGTTACCTGTAACTGCTTCATATGTTACCTGTAACTGTTCTATATGTTATCTGTACCAGTACTATATGTTACCTATAACTGTCCTATATGTTACCTGTAACTGTCCTATATGTTACTTGTAACTGCTTCATATGTTACCTGTAACTGTTCTATATGTTACCTGTAACTGTTCTATATGTTACCTGTAACTGTTCTCTATGTTACCTGTTACTGTTCGATATGTTACCTGTAACTGTTCTATATGTTACCTCTATTTGTTTTATATGTTACCTGTAACTGTTCTATATGTTACCTGTAATTGTTCTATATGTTACTAATATCATTCTAAATGTTTCTTGTCACTGTTCTGTATGTTACCTGTAACTGTTGTACTAGTTACCTGTAACTGTTCTATATGTTACCTGTAACTGTCTTATATGTTATCTGTAACTGTTCTTAATGTTACCTGTAACTGTTCTATATGTTACCTGTAACTGCCTATATGTTACATACAACTGTCCTATATGTTACCTGTAACTGTCCTATATTTTACCTGTAACTGTTTCATATGTTACCTGTAACTGTTCTATATGTTACCTGTAACTGTTCGATATGTTACCTGTAACTGTTCTATATGTTACCTGTAACTGTTCGATATGTTACCTGTAACTGTTCTATGTGTTACCTGTATTTGTTCTATATGTTACCTGTAACCTATCTATATGTTACCTGTATTTGTTCTATATGTTACCTGTAACTGTTCTATATGTTACCTGTATATGTTCTATATGTTACTGAGATCATTCTGAATGTTTCCTGTCACTGTTCTGTATGTTACCTGTAACTGTTCTACAAGTTACCTGTAACTGTCCTATATGTTACCTGTAACTGTCCTATATGTTACCTGTAGCTGCTTCATATGTTACCTGTAACTGTTCTATATGTTACCTGTAACTGTTCGATATGTTACCTGTAACTTTTTGATATGTTACCTGTAACTGTTCTATATGTTACCTGTTTTTGTTCTATATGTTACCTGTAACCTATCTATATGTTACCTGTATTTGTTCTATATGTTACCTGTAACTGTTCTATATGTTACCTGTATTTGTTCTATATGTTACTTATATCATTCTGAATGTTTCCTGTCACTGTTCTGTATGTTACCTGTAACTGTTGTACAAGTTACCTGTAACTGTCCTATATGTTACCTGTAACTGTCCTATATGTTACCTGTAACTGCTTCATATGTTACCTGTAACTGCTCTATATGTTACCTGTAACTGTTCGATATGCTACCTGTAACTGTTCTATATGTTACCTGTATTTGGTCTATATGTTACCTGTAACCTATCTATATGTTACCTGTATTTGTTCTATATGTTACCTGTAACTGTTCGATATGTTCTATATGTTACCTGTATTTGTTCTGTATGTTACCTGTAACCTATCTATATGTTACCTGTATTTGTTCTATATGTTACCTGTAACTGTTCTATATGTTACCTGTATTTGTTCTATATGTTACTTATATCATTCTGAATGTTTCCTGTCACTGTTCTGTATGTTACCTGTAACTGTTGTACAAGTTACCTGTAGCTGTTCTATATGTTATCTGTAACTGTCTTATATGGTATCTGTAACTGTTCTTAATGTTACCTGTAACTGTTCTATATGTTACCCTGGGCTGTCTAATAAGTGACACACGTATTGGAAGCAACTTATAAGACCACTGAAGGTAAGCCAATTTTGTCTGGTCTCTGTTAACCTAACTTATATACAAATGAACAATGTAAAACAAGTATATTAGTAGACAGTGATGTTTTGAAATTGCAGGCTTCATTAAAACGGAAACATAGATAAATGAATATCTTAATATAGTTGATTGCTAGAACAGAAAAAAGTGTATAATGACAGTTTCCATAATCGATAAGAAAAGGTCATACTTCAGGTATTCATTAAAACTTAAGCAATGCTAATAAAAAAAACTTTTTGTTCATGAAACATTAAGCGCACTTCCATGCATGGATGATGATCGATCGGAACATGTCCCATCAGAAATAGTTTTTAATCACACATTTATATAATCCAATGACAGAAACTATTGTTTCTTTGTCAATGACATTCTGTACTGTAGTTAAATTCTTCTTTTTGAGAATTTACGTCAAATAGGTTATCATAGTAACCAATTTCTTTAGTTCAATTGATTTAAGAACACCTTTCAATGTATAAATACATTTGTGTTAGCATGGTAACCCAGCTCAGAGACTGCCGCTTGTTATTTGTTGTACATATCTTATAAACAAAAAACAACAGGGAAAAGAAATGTTATCAAATGGTCATTTATTAAATGACAGGAACATTTCAAATACAACCATAATATCAATCACTGTTGTTATATAATATATAGATCTGAATGACATTAACTTCAGTCTATATGTACAACAAAAAGATGGGGTACAAATTATCGGCATACAAACATAAGTTTGAATTAAAAAAAAAAAAACATGGATATATAAGCTGGCTCAAAATAAAATGTGGGAGTGTGGTATGGGTGGGACTTCGAAAGATATTAAACGTAATCACAGCAGCAGAAAAATTATGAGGAGTGATGAAGATATGACGCGGTCAAAATCACGAAGAGGTGCGCGCCTCGCTGATTGGTCAATCCAGGCCCTGACCGCCTAGCATCACGGCTACTGCCGCTGGTCACGTGAACAGCCCCTCTGACTGGTCAAGCTAAAACCGTGACCACTTAGCGAGTTGCCCTACACGGCCCTCTTAGCTAACACGTGCGCACACATAACATCCAAATAACAAGAGATACAAACTACATAGGGTAACAGATGGTCACCAGGTGGTCAGAGTTCAAGATCTTATTCCAAATAACAAAATCATGCAAGAGCCAACTTACATAACATTATAATGTGAAGAACATCTGTAGGATTATGACAATTATACATATATATATATACATGAATATATAAAGTAACCATCTAACACAAATGTATTTATTTCATGAAATGAATTTTATTCATTTTGGCACATCTAGATCACATCGTAATTTGTTGTTTCGTTGAAAATTTGTTGTTGTTTCACTGTCAGAGGACACAGTGAAAATACATTCACAAAAGGTGAACTAAGAGGATACAACGCATGCTCTGTGTGCTTCAACTCACTTCCGGTATTATAATTACCTTTGTCGGTGTTATATGATAACGTTGGTTTGATTGAATGCACGGAGGCAGAGCCGTCGCAAAAGTTTAAAAAGGGGGACATTGGTAAATTGCCCCATTTAAGCCTATTCTATGAGACAAAGGTTTTGGAACTGATTTTAATGAAAGGCAAAAGTGTTCAATAATAATACAGAGAGAGTCCATGTTTTAAGTAGGAGATAAACCTCAAACTGTATAACACGTGTGAGAAAGCAAAGATGTCGGCCCTGACGTATGTATGTTCGAAACCGTGCCTCTATTCGAATCAGTTCAAACATGACACTACAGATAATAATAATAATGATAATAATAATATACTTAATTGATATAGCGCCATATCTAATTCGTTAGGATTACACTAAAGCGCTTTACATAAAATAACATAAAAAATTAAGCATAAAAGTATATCGTTCATTATCCATCAATGTAAAATGTCCATCACAAAAAACCTAAAACATTAAAACTATGTCATACACTGTCTATCAATAGAAATCCTATCACAATTTAAAGGCTGTTTTAAAAAGATGTGTTTTCAGTGCGGATTTAAAAGCAGACAGAGATTCTATGTTCCTCATGGAAAATGGAAGATTATTCCACAAGTGTGCTGCTGCTGTATCAAAGCAGCGGTGTCCATATGTGGCAGCCCTTGCTTTGGGGGAAATAAGCAATGCACCAGACTGTGACCTCAGTGTCCGAGTTGGTTTATAGGGACGTACAAGTTCCTTGAGGTACTCTGGTGAGTTCCCATGTGTCACAGTCTCAACCATACTTTTGTATATTTTACATTTTTGTATATATCAAACAATGTCTGAACTATTTGTACATGTATTCGATGAAAGAAATCGGGTATTATCTGGTCTAAATATTGTACTTTTATTTTCTTAATTATTTGCTGTAAATTCTATAAATGCGGATTCTCCGGATCCGAGTTCGAATATTTGAAATTAGTCTCGCCGGAAGGAAAATATACATGTAAGCGAGAACAGCGGTGTAAATTTTGGCAGTCAGCTTATATGGGGTTAGCCAACGCAAAATACAGTTTGCGGTAAGTTTGTAAACATTTCTTGTGCCTTTATATTGCAATTATATGCCCGAAATCGGTTGTGTTTGATATTTGAGGCGAATATTTATCGATAAATGTATATGCTTATAACGCTATATGAGTACAGTTCAATATATCTCTATTATAGCTATAAGATATCAACTGTTATATGAATTTAGTTTATATTTAATAAATATAAGCGAAACTTGTCAATATGTCAATGAATTACATGGAATTCAGAGTAGAATTAGTGAATAGATTCATATCAATTACTGTATGTAGGCAGATGAATGTATATACACAAATAGTTCAAATAGAAGAAATACTGTGTATAAATATCTATGAATCATTATAGACTATATAGTCAGCATAGTCAGACGTAGTCTTGTGTTATTGCAGTTCTATCCATGTTGATGGCGGGAACGAATGTGACACAGTCAGAGTACATACATATATAGAATACAGAGTCATATGTGGGCCAGGACAGCCGCCAGTTACAGTCCTGTGTGAGCAGATGCTATGATGTCCTATATGGTCGTGCAGATGTTCTAATATCCTGTGTGGACAGATGCTATGATGTCCTGTGTTAGCAGATGCTATGATGTCCTGCCAGGTTACACCATGGAGAGCCTTAAACACAGTTATGAGCAGCTTACACTGACAGCGATATTCAAACGGAAGCCAATGTAAGGACTCCAGCACAGGTGTTATATGGTCCCTTTTTATGCTAAGAGCATTTTCAATGCTCTTCAGCATGTTGCTGTCGCCCCCGGCCCTGAGTATCAGTACTTCGTTTTCATTGGTTCATAAATCGAAAGTTTACTCCTACTCCATCTGCCGGACATTACCGTAATCATTGGATTATCGCCCCTACAAGTTGCTGATCCTAGTCATTAAATGAAACAACCTTATCGACATTTTCTTCGTTACTTGTACATCAAGAAAACGTTTTGTGTTGTGTATTAATGATAATCAGACATCGAAATTTGTAAATACAGTGACGAAGACTCACGTTTTATGGTGGTAAATTTTGCGAGGCGATGCCAATATGGCGGCTTAACTTTCTTTTCCGCGCGATGCATTGTGGGTGTCATATATATCTTTCTTTTTTTTTTCTTTTTTGAAAATTTTCATCCCGTTTAATACTGTTGAAAGCTTTTGAAAATACTGAAATATGTAGTTGAAAATAAGAATGAAACTAAAATAAGAATGATTTAGAGTAGCATAAAATTTTGACGGAAACAGCCGGGGTGCTCTTTGCTGCTGGACCCTGAAAGAAGACGGCGGCAGAAAGAAGATGGCGGGTATTTGATGTAAGTAAGTATCACTCTATATATATATATATATATAAGCTGAATTTAAAGTCAATACTTATACTGAACTAGCAATTGCATTTTTTGCAAAATACTCATTTGAAATGAGCTATCGCATGTATTGGATTTAGGCTCAACGGCGACGCGCAAGCTGGGCACTGCCGCCATGGCACTTTTTTCAAAATATTTTCAAGACTTTTCCTTTGAAGCAGTATGCATTTGAAAAATGTTATGTAAGCATCTAGCACATTTTTGTTGCTTCCGTAAAGTATTTCAGTGTTTTGAAATAAATTTATTTTTGAATGATCGTGAGTGGCCCAACAGATCGGAAATTAAACAGAAAAAAAATCTATCCGTAATATTGTACTGTACTACTTACGTTACCGTGAATAGATCTAGGAATCTATCTGTGTAATCACGGACTTATATACAAGTCCGTGGTGTAATATATCGATTTTACTTTAAAATATCGGTCACTGTCCGTGCTATTGTAGATCTAGCTCTTTCAAATTTCTGATCGGAGATAATTTATAAGTACCCCAAGTCCAGGGTATGAAATCGTAAGGGAACTCTACAGCTATGCCAATTGAAGTTTATATATATAGTTTTAGCTTAAATTTAGTTTTTGTCTTTCTGACATGATGTCTCGTTGATTCTGTTGAAGAGTGATGCAGGTGATTGATTACAATATGAAGATTGGGAATAATGAAGATATCAATTAACATCTGAATCCCGGAAAGTGTTTTAATGAAGATTAGGATAAACCTAGCAAAGTGTTAGGTCCCATTGGTACAATTCTTATTATGCCTGAACTTTTAATATATGTACTGTATTTGTTCATCTCAGAAGTTTCGGTATTATGTCAACTGCGTCAACTTTCAGTTCAACACTTGATTCATCAAATTTACACAGCCCTGGGCTCAATATTTGTCATTAATTGTCGACTGTTTATAAGCATTTTAGAGTTTTGTTTCCATGGTGAGTGGAATGAAATGGGATAAATAGTCTAACCAATACCCCTCGAGAGCTTATTAAGACATTGCAGTATTATCACATTGGGCCTTATTAAAAGTCAAATTGAAACTTTAAGAAACTCAAGTGACCGAAAGTACAACAATAAGATGCTTTGTAGTGGTTTGTTCAGAACTGTAGTTCTGGTTAAGTAACCATTAATTATGTCCTTTCAGCTACAATTACGTACATTTTTGAAATACCTCTACTGTAGCTAAATGTGGCATTTGTGATAGACATAGCCAAAGTTAATTTTGTGATAGATGTAGCCAAAGTTAATTTTAAGATCAGTTAGGACAGCTACTGTTTGTAACAGGCATGGGTTCAATTACATGATGATGTAATTAATTAAATTACAATTACATTATGAAAATGGCATTGCCACTACAGGTATTTTCAAAATAATTAAATAACCATTACATGACGGTCCAATGTAATTAATTAAATTACACATTACTTTTCAAGTCAAAATGATTTTTTTTGAAATACAAACGTCAAAATAAATTATCATACTGCACAGATTTATCACACAAATTAAATTTTATGATTCAATCTCTGTATGACCATGGTCAAGATATTATCATTTTGCCAGCTGTCCATCGCTTAATAATTTTACAGTCCTGAACGTCAAAGTAATTAATTACAGTATATTTAATATAGGCTCCTAATGGGAAGACTATAAGCTTATACAGAAGTGTATATTTCTTGCACATAATCATAGCAATAATGAAATATAGTTATTTATTTCCCTTACTCTCTTTCAGCAAGTGGATGTCCCTGAAGAAATGAAATCTGGAATGGTAGAAGGTATCTCTATTGATTCTTCTAACTTGGAATTGGCCATGGTGACCAACAATGAATGGATGTGAGGACCTTATGGTGGAGAAAAACGTCCTTCTTTTCGGCCTCCAATTAGATGTTGAATATGATTAATCACTTGAGGAGATGCTAACAACCATGTTGCCTTTTAAGGTCACAGTACTCTCTAAAGGCAGCAATATATTTACCATCAGAAAAGAAGAATCAACAAATCGCAGAAACTAAAATAATTTGGAAAAGATCTTTGTATACTGCATTTGTAGTAAATTTGTATACAATCTTCAATTTACTTGTGTTTACCATCAGAAAAGAAGAATCAACAAATCGCAGAAAATAAAATAATGTGGAAAAGATCTTTGTATACTGCATTTGTAGTAAATTTGTATACAATCTTCAATTTACTTGTGTAGAAAGATTCACTAGTTATACCAAGTTTGTGTAGAAAGGATCACTGTATACTGAGTTTGTAGTGTACATAGAAAGGTTTACTTATTTATTTTTTTTTCTGAGTTTAGTGTATATAATATATCAAAAAAACTTTTTGTAGAAAATATCACTGCATACCTGAGTTTGTTGTTTACAAATGTGTAGAAAAGATCGCTGTATACAGAGTTTATAGTTTACAATTGTCTAGAAAAATCACTGTATACTGAACATAATACGACTTCTGTTTAAAACCTTCATTTAAACTTAGGCATGTATTTTTTATGTATCTTAAAAGTCTACCTACAACAATTTTGTGTATGCAATCTTGTACTAGGATATTGACATGACAAGATTACATTGCTGATCAAAGCATGGAAAGAATACTGTATCTAAAAACTGAATAAAACAAGATATAAGCATCTGTATCATGTTTTTATTATTATTATTATTATTTTTCCATAATGTCTGTCCACATGGAATTTGTAAGCACTCTTGTGCATTCTTATACCACCAAAAGGGTGGGTAAACTGGAATCAGGTTGTCTATCAGTCCATCCATCTGTTTGTCTGTCTGAAGACACATCTTGTCTGGACAACTCCAATGAAACTTTTCAGTAATATTCAGGACAATGTGTAGATGTGCATGCACCATTTTCCCTCAAAATATTGATTGCCATGGCAACTGGTCAATATAGACGGGTTTTGCTCGTCTGTCAACTTCTAAACCTGTGGACCAATTTCAACAAAACTTTGCAGGAATGTTGGGGAACGTGCACATGCCGCTAAGCTAAGGCTGTGGGTGTTGGGGGGTATTAGTTATCATTTGGATTACAGTTTCAGTTATCCCTGGGCAATGTGGAGAGGATATAGTAATGATTTTGAGGATTGAATGTAGAGGTCACAGTACTTGCATAAGTACTATATGATTACCTTGTAAACGCATTGAGACTAAGACAGTATACCTTAATCAAATTTGGAACATGTATCCCTTATGAGAAGTCGGTTTCTTTAGAAATTCAGGGTCAGATGTCAAAGATCAAGGTCACAGTCAAAAAACGGATAGATGCATGGGGGTGTTCTTTGCATTACCCTCATTTTTCTATCAAATTTCACAACCTAAAAGATATTCACATCTTGCAAATTTCAAGGTCACTGTTAGGATGTTAAAAAATGATAATACAAGAGGAATAAAATATCTTGTGACAAGTTTTAGAGAACAAAGAATATATAAACATGTCAACAGAATTGTAGAACCAGCAAAACAAGTGTAAAATTGAAACAAAGACAATATCTACTCGAAGATTCCCTGAAAAAGTACAAGGAGAATAAGACCAGGTGTTCCGAAAGAATAGGCATCTTTTATTTTAAGTTATGGTGACATACCATGTTTGTTTTAGAAAATTGGCACTCTTATGCAGTCATTTACAGACAATCTGGAAAATGAAGCTGCCCAATATTTGTATGTAGCATGTTATTTGCATGATGGTCTAACTAATGGTCTTAAACCAATGAGATACGCAGTCTTTAAAGTGATAATATGGTGTCCAAGATCAACATTTCCTATAATGTATCCAAAAAAATGGACAACTTCCCTATCATTGCATCTTGGAGCCTACTTGGGACATGTATTACATAAGTAATACTACTATGCTTGTTATTTCTGATATCTGCTGGTCATTTTTTATGGGCTGCAATGATTTACTGCTTGCATATAGTTGGTTTCAGTATATAGCAAGCTAATAACTAAGAATTTATTTTTTTAATGGTCTTAGCATACCAGTACTTTCAGTACTTTGATTTTTATTTATCTTAAAAGTCTACCTACAACAATTTTGTGTATGCAATCTTGTACTAGGATATTGACATGACACGATTACATTGCTGATCAAAGCATGGAAAGTATACTGAATAAAGAAAACAAGATATAAGCATCTTTATCATGTTTTTATTTTTATTATTATCATTATTATTTTTCCATGATGTCTGTCCACATGGAATTTGTAAGCATTCTTGTGCATTCTTATACCACCAAAAGGGTGGGTAAATCAAATCAAGTTGTCTATCTGTCCATCCATCTGTTTGTCTGTCTGGAGACACATCTTGTCTAGACAACTCCAATGAAACTACAGTAATATTCGGGACAATGTGTAGATGTGCATGCACCATTTTCCCCTGGAAATATTGATTGCCATGGCATCTGGTCAATATAGACAGGTTTTGCATGTCGGTCAACTTCTAAACCTGTGGACCAATTTCAACAAAACTTCGCAGGAATATTAGGGAACATGTGCACATGCCGCTGTGTTTCAGAGGATGTTTTTTTGCAAAAAGTCACCATGGGGAGATAACTAAGGCTGTGGGTGATGGGGGTATTAGTTATCATTTGGATTACAGTTCAGTTATCCCTGGGCAATGTGGAGAGGATATAGTAATGATTTTGAGGATTGAATGTAGAGGTCACAGTACTTGCATAAGTACTATATGATTACCTTGTAAACGCATTGAGACCAAGACAGTTAGTATACCTTAATCAAATTTGGAACATGTATCCCTTGTGAGGAGAAGTCGGTTTCTTTAGAAATTCAGGGTCAGATATCAAAGATCAAGGTCACAGTCAAAAAACAGATAGTTGCATGGGGGTGTTTTTCCATTGTATTACCCTCGTTTTTCTATCAAATTTCACAACCTAAAAGATATTCACATCTTGTAAATTTCAAGGTTCAAGGTCACTGTAAGGATGTTAAAAAAATGATAATACAAGAGGAATAAAATATCTTGTGACAAGTTTTAGAGAACAAAGAATATATAAACATGAAAAATTGGAACAAAGTCAATATCTACTTGAAGATTCCCAGAAAAAGTACAAGGAGAATAAGACAAGGTTTTCTGGAAGAATAGGCATCTTCTATTTTAAGTTATGGTGACAAGTCATGTTTGTTTTAGAAAATTGGCACTCTTATGCAGTCATTTACAAACAATCTAGAAAATGAAGCTGTCCAATATTTGTATGTAGCATGTTATTTGCATGATGGTCTAACTAATGGTCTTAAACCAATAGGATACACAGTCTTTAAAGTGATAATATGGTGTCCATGATCAACATTCCCTACAATGTATCCAAAGAAATGGACAACTTCCCTATCATTGCATCTTGGAGCCTACTTGGGACATGTATTACATAAGTAATACTACTATGCTTGTTATTTCTGATATCTGCTGGTCATTTTTTATGGGCTGCAATGATTTACTGATTGCATATAGTTGGTTTCAGTATATAGCAAGCTAATAACAAAGAATTTATTTTTTAATGGTCTTAGCATACCAGTACTTTCAGTACTTTGATTTTAGTTCGTATAATGAGTCGCGCCGCAGTATTTTGAACTCTCTGGAGACGCTTAGCCAACGTACCTGGAATGCCATATAACAAAGCGTTCCCATAGTCCAGTCTGGATGTTACGAAATACAATTACTACATGTACTTAGCGTTTAGAGCGGTAGAGGGGCATTAAATTTGAAAGGAAACATGGCAGTTCCAGTTCCTAGGAATAGAATAACTCGATTTAACGAGCGGAAAATCATCATTATTCTTGTTGTAATCATTCTTGTAATGCTTTATATGTTGCTGACCTGTAAAGCACGGATACCCATGTTCTAGAGATATATTTATCCAGGAATACGGAGTCTGAAAAGGTAATTCTTATTTCATTTAATTTGATACTGACATGATACATTTTACAGCGGTTAGTGTCAATTTTATCATCACAAATTTATGTAATAAATTAAGTATATTGTAAATAACTTAACGACAAGTGTTTCTATGCTTAGTTGTCATATTGAATCATAAGTAAACACTAGCGTGTGATTCAAAGTTGAGGTACCATTTGTTTGCTGTTTAAGTTCTCAAAAACTATACATCAGTTTGGAAATGACAGATATTGCAAATGGTCTTGTACATTTGTGCAATTTTGCAATATTGTCAAATTCTATTTTAAGAATACCAAACTTTACATGTTAGTCAAATGCATATGATAAACTGTGTATCTTAATCGAAACTAGATTTTATTTTGAAAAGACATATTAAAATTAATTCATTCAACCAATTGGGTAAGTCTGCTAATTGTTAAAACATATCGCCCATTCGGTGAACTTCGTATTAAAAAGTTAAAAACGTCCTAGAAAATCCGGTTGTATGTAATCGGAACAATAAAACTACAAGTTACATTCTAAACAAAACTATAGTGTAAAACAAGAAAATTGCTTCATTATCTAACACACTGAAGTCTAAAGAGAAACAAACGTGATAGACGAACGAACGTCTTTGTATGAATTGCACAATTGTATTTCTGATCGCACATGATTTTATTTCTTTTTTAATTTATTGCTATATGTTTAGATAGGTCAGTTACCCGCAGGAGACCTGTGGAATTGAACTTTGTAACGGGGATATCTTGTTATCATTTCTTAATAAAAACATACCTTTTCTGCATTACTGATGTACATATTCTAGTGTGTATATAAGATAATGACCAATGGTTTATAGTTATAGCCTGGTATACAACGAAACACTATGTTTCTACAGTGTCTTTGTTTTTCTTATGAATAATACCCGTCGAATTTTAAAATATGTACTATATGTATGTACACTTACTTGTGTACTCTAAACCGCCGTCATACTCGGGTTAAATATCATGTCCTTGACGGGAGCGTGTTACCTGATACACCTCATACGTAGTATATGTAATGTTGCATGACGTGTTTGCATTTGCAAAGCAAGTTAGGAAAACCCCTGTTTACCCGACTTGTCACTAGATAAGCGTTGCCCAATCGTCGCCATATAATGACTCATTGTGTCCTATTTCAGTGAGTGAAACGTTACCTTGTAAATGGTGAAGAGTTCACATCTCAAATATCTTGGCCGAAATTATCAGTATTATTTCATAAAAGATAAAAAATTAAAAAAAACATGAATTAATGTATTCACTGTTGGAAGCTTTATGAAATAGAATAAACTTGATTACCGATGTCTGCATTGAATTGAAATGATTGTTTGTAAATAAAGTAAGTAAAGATAAATCATAGAAACAAAACAATATTTATAAGCATTGATAAACGAACGTATTTTTATTAGTGCGGAAATAATATAATTATATCATTTAAATGTCCTATATGTCACGATTAACCATGTTTGTTACCTGGAAAACAGCCAGATGACTGCAATTTCTGTATATAGCAATGGAAATACCATCGTGCTTTTCATACGTGTGTCTATGTTTAAAGTAATAGAAAAGGTGATTTACACAAACATGCACTCGGTACCTAGAAACACCGACTGCCTTCATGCCAAACGATATTGTATTACGTTAATCCAGGTCAGTAGTCTCTGATTGGTTGATATTTTTTAAATGATATCTTTGTTTACCCTGTCTTTTCTGTTGTTTCTGTTGTATATGCCAGGTACCGCTCGAGATTTCAACAATATGTACTTTGCTCTGACGATGTAAACATCACAATGGGAAAGCGATTGTGTACAACAAACGATACAAGTTATCATACTGTCTTAAAACGTGCATTTAATATCAGCGTTGTTGGGAACATTCTCCTAGTAGTCTGTTTATTGGTAGTCTTTGTCATTCGACAGCACTTACGAAATCAGGGCCATGAAACATTACCAACCCAAACAACTAGAACAGCGCATCAAGTCAAAGCAGGACAAATTTGTTTACCCTGTGCATTCCAGGGACAGGCAACAGGCCACACTCTTTATGAATCCAGATTGAAGACAGAAAACAACATTACACTTTGTTGCTTGGAGCGCGATGGAGAACTCCATAACCTGATACGAGAGGTAAGTCGATTTACTGAAATAGATATAACTAACATAGGCATTAAAGAATTGTATACATTTGTATATTATTAGAACGTTTCTGTTTTTTCATTATCGATTTACATATAAATCACTTTCTTTCTAGTTAAAGGATGAAAACAGAGGTATTTTGAATCCAGACCGACAACTCGGTAAGTTATAAATATCTTGTTAAATATGAATATCTTAAAACATTATCTTACAACGTTTCTTCCAGTGCACATTAACACCATTGTGCAGTATTGTACACGAAATACTAAATACTGTGTAGTTGTTTGCTCTAATCCAAATTTGAAAAAATAACAGAACTAAAAGAAAACAAACATATCATATGCATAGAAATCAATAACCTTTTGTAATAATAATGTTTTGTAGTAATGTTTTAATTAAGGTTACCTGCAATTCAGATAAATCAAATGCAGTTATTTTTGTTGTCAGTTGAACCTGAGAAACTGCGATGGTGGCGAGAGAGGCATCATGCTGCTCATGTGTACGCCAATCCTTTTGCTGTTGGCCCAGGTAAAAAATAGTCTTAATGTTTGGCAGAGAATGGCAGGAAAGCATTTATTCTGTATTTACGAACATTTTGATTTAAGAGACGGAAAAAAAATTACCAGATCTTTAGCATATGGAAAAAAGGACTCGCGACCCTATATCTGAAACAAAATGTTAAAAGAAACATATTGAGTGTATTTGTTTTTTCCTTGCATTTAACTTCTTGCGTTTTAGGCTTTTACGATTTATAGAAATGAGTCAAAAGAGCGAAAGTGTCCATATATACCGCGCTTAATGCCTTGTGCATGTCTTGTGTGAATTATATGTATGTATGTGTCATTGATACTTAATATGTTTAATAACTTTTTATTTAGATTTAGTGTGGAGTGAGCCCGCCTGCAAAACATCCGTTTTACGAAATCTGTCATTGACAGGAAACGGGAGACAATTGACCGTTCCACAGTTTTCAGGCTCGGGACTGTACTTTGTGTATTCCATGTACACATTCGACTTTAGCAACACAGATGCCAACGAACCGGCGCCTCTAGGAGTCCATACTATCTACAAACACCGATCAGCTGTAATCAACGGAAACAAAGTTAAGCTATGGACAGCAAAAGTCGGAGGTGTACCCACTGTGAAAAGACAAACGAGCTTCCTTTGTGGTGTTGTCCGTATGAATATGCGGGACAAAATAGAATCTCAGGCTATTTCATATGTTGGCAGAGAAATCTACACCAGTAAGCATATCGACAAGTCACACTACTCCAACTTTTTTGGCATGTTCAAACTTATAGACTTCGTTTGACTTGTTTCCGTGCATTGGTATATGACTTGTTTCCGTGCATTGGTATATGACTTGTTTCCGTTTGAATTATATTCGTGCTTGAAAGTGAAAATGAAACCTTTGCAATAAATGATTACAAAAATAAATTTTATATATTTATGTATTCCATACCTACGTTTGTTTCAAAACTGACTTATCATGTGATCAACTTCAAAGATTGTTCAATCCTCCAACGATTCTGAATAGTTAACTTTGAAGTTTGACCTCGCACTACTTTACAAGCGCGTTTTTCAGTCTGTAAAAAAACCCCATCAACATGGCCACCGATCATCTGCTTATAGCGACCTAGATGATCCATCCTACAATTACCAAACACCAAAAATCTGACAAACTGTCGTTATTTATGTCTTTAAGGGCAGAGAAAACAGATTAATGTCATGTTTACGTGTACCAGTAATGGGAAGTCGTCTCTTTTTGTCCGCGTTCAGATCTGCATGAGATATTAATTTCAATTTGCTTCCCAATCATATTTTTTAAATGCACGAAAGCTGATTATTCAGATTATTCTCTAGCATAGGCCTCTAAGCCAATTGAGAAACTGAAGGGCTATTGACTAACCAATTAGATGAAAAGTTATAAACAGATTACTTCCTGTTTGCCTAATCTTTCTAGACCAAGTGTATGGTCGCCAATAGAACATGATAATAAACACTATCTAATCAGTTTCCTTTAATGCAAAATATCCCAAAGATGTATTACATGTATGACATAATGCCATTTTGGAACTCGTGTGTCTCGTGTCAATAAAATGGTCTAATGTAAACAAAACATGACAAGTTGGGTACACCCACGCACGCTGATGGCAACATCGTGATTTTTTTAAACAGCACATTTCAAGACACGAAAAAGTTTGCATAGTATCAATGCATTTCAACGTTAAACTACCATCAACCACAATTCCCACTAGTTTCTCGAAAATCTTTTGAAACACGCCTGCCTTCTGATGTCTTTAAAGAAAAAACTCTTCATGTTATCTTTGGACATCATCATAACAATATAAGGCCATACGTATATATCTACAATGTCTTGGAAACGACTGATAACTGAATATGACAGTAATAAAGTAATAAGATGCTAATAGATCGTAATATCATGAAATTTTACATTAACATCCTGAAAGTTTATACAGTATTGACGATGCACTGCAAAAAAGATAGCCTCGTCAGATCGTCCTTCATCTCAAAAATATGTTACGATGTGACAAAGAATCGAAAAAAAACGCCCCAAACATTCTTAGACCGTAAACATTATGTATTCAAACAGTTTTATGATAGCAGAAGACAATTGGTCTTCCGGAACACCTGCTAATTTTTCTCCTTGTTCTTCTCCCTTTGCAGAAAGGGGTTCGTGTAAGTCTTTCTTTTGGTGATATTTTGCCCTAGTTTTATTGAATTTGAGTTTGGATCATGAATATGTTAACATGTTGGTAATTTCTTGGGGTTTTTCTCGGAATATTGTGCGTGTAATCATACGCACTTAAAGACGAAATAATGACTAACGAAACACACACAATATTACACAGAAAATAACAGATTTCGTTGGGACAGTTTTTACTATAGAATCTTTTCATCAGTAATTAAGACGCCGGTGAGACACATACATGCAAATATGCATATATAGAAAAAGTATTTAGCATTACATCCGTGTTCACTGTAGTGATGTACATTTCGGTAGTATAACACTATCATTTTGATATAGAATATTGATACTCTTTTTTCATGTGACAAGCACGAAGGTTTTGCAAAATACATGATTTCAATAATCATGCTGATATTGTCTAATAGCTGCAGAACTGTTTTGTTGTGAAACTTAAGAGCTAAACATTGTACATAAGGGCAGAACAAAGAACAAATGTTGAATGAGAGCAATTCATCCTTATAAGACTCGTCAGTGATGAAACACTTTTACAATAAGGGTACTGAAGCTGAACTTACCCAAAAATGAAATCAATTTTGGATAATGCCATTATTGTTTTATTTTTAAAGATAGTCAAATACATTTAAATCGTGTCAGTATTCATACCAAGTGAAAGGTTGTCGTTACAGCAAAATGCGGGGACTAGATTCACGTTATGCTGTTTCTTTATGGGACATTAACTGTGCAAATTTAGAAGTTTGGAAGATTGCAGTCTGCAAAACAAACATTGACAATAGATACTTTCCTAACATTTCAATGATAAAGGATATCTAAAGTGACTTTCTAAATTGAATCTCTTCCTGGTTTAACATAGTGATTGGATTAGCTCTGATTGTTTATATATGTAGTATGTATAACAAGGGACATATCCCGACAAGCAACCATGTTCATTTCCTTTCCTGTTTGATAATTTTACCTGAGATTTTGTTTTTTGTTGTTTGGTTGAGAGGAGATGGTGAAAAGCAACCGAAACAAAAAGTAGAATCTCTTAGCAATGATCAAATTAGCAAATTTAGGCATCACTGATGAATGATAAAAGGACTAAATTACTGTATGATGCTGTTTAATTAATAGCTTGGTTCTACTCTAACTGTAACGTTGCATTAACGTGTGCTATTCACGTGTGTGTCTTTTGTACAATCTCTGATAATGATTCTTATGTCTTCACACGTCTAGTAAATTCCAAAGGATGTCAATATAATCTATTAGAGGGCGATCCAGCATCACAATTGTACTAAACATTTCTGGTGTTCTACTCTGATGCTTTATAACCAAGAAACAGTTTCGCTATTCGCTATTTGAAAGTTAACCTCCTCCAACTATAATAACGGTGGTAAACATTTTAAGGCAAAACACTACACTCACCTGAAAACATTACTGGTAGGCAACATTTTTACTCTTAAGTAAATATTGAAAAAAATGAAATTAAGAATGTGGGGATTTATATAGATATAAAATCTAATAGAGAGAAAATAACCACTCTAAAGTTTCCCTTGTTGTATTTATTGTTTTCATTTCTGTGTAGGTGAAACTACTCCGGTTGACGCCGCTTCACATGGCTGGGGTCGCCGTCAAAGCAGAAGCCATGTACTCCTTCGGAACACATGGTCGGGTGGCGGAGTGGTAACGCACTCGCCTTTCACCTAGCCGACCATGGTTCGATTCCCGGAACGGACGTGAAAAGGTAAGGGGTCACCTGCTCGACCACGTGGGTTTTCCCCGGTACTCCGGTTTCCTCCCACAATAAGACCCCTCGCGCGCTTACATCCGGGCCAACAAGAGTGATTAGTATAAGTTGACATAACTTGATTCGCAACTGTTGTAAAATAAATAAAGTTGATAGTTTACACACTTGGTCTCATTCTCCGTGTGCTTTTTCAGGAGTCTTTCCTTTGTTCATATTTTGTACAATTTTTTCTGAATTGAATTTTATCATGATAATGTTTATATACTGATATTTTTTTTTGTTTCTTTAAGGGTTTTCCATAACATGCTACAGCAATATAAGATATATAGTCGTCATCGTTCTTAATATAAACTTTATGTTATTCCCTTTCACATGCATAACAATACAGATAAAGTCCCCTGGAATAGGATTCGGAATTATTACTAAAATGTGCATTTGATTATACGTTAGACACACTGGTTAATACCATAACATCACATATTTTAGCATCGGCTACATACAGACAACATAGGAGATGTTAAAGTCAGAACAAGTTGTCTCCCTTATGCTGGTTATATAATCATCTAAAAATAGAATGAATTAGAATTACCCCACAAGTGCAATACAAAGAAATAGTGCTGGGTATTTACAGATTTAAATAGAAACAGCAGATTGTACATGCTCACTAGGAGTAATGGAGGGTAATGCCCTCGGTCATCGTCGCGATTCTGTAGTTTATAAACGATTGATAAACATTCTGAAAGTAAATGTTGCTGGAAATATTTTGTTTATACTTATCGCATTATGTGCATGGGTCCTTCAGAAATCCGGGTTACTCTGGACTAACGCAATTCTACCACCTTCAACAACAAACAGAAACTCACAAGTCCAACATATTAGCTTTAGGAGTAAGGCTACTTCTGACGACATTGGAAGTGAGACAGTTTGTATAACGTGTAGTGTCTATGGAAAAGACGTTTTGACCAGTCTCTATGATTACACTATCACTACAAGCTATGGTGTTTCTCTGTGTTGTGTGAATAATGACACAGATACACAGGATATCATATTACAGGTATGTGTTCAATAAAACATCCTTAGGTAGTATTGCTTGTATCAATATGCTATATTACAATATGTTTCAGATAACATTCCGCTGTATGTTCACAATAAAATAATATTTGATAGCACAATTATTGTTTTACTTATAACAAAAAGACAAGCAAACACGTGTTTCGGGTTCCAAACTGAAGTTCTTGCTCTTTTTCAATGTGTCATTTATGTGATGATTTCCGTTCGATTTTAAATCGATAAAATAACTGACATACATCGTAAGATTAACTTTGATAGATAAAGCCGAAAAGGTTTTAAAAAAATACCTTACCTTTCAGAAAATATTCTTCATCAATCCTGGAATTGAAATTTTTGCTTTATTTATGAAGACGCAATTTTTTCACAATTTATATCCGTTTTATAGAGAAGTGGGTGTGTCTTTCTATATTATGATATTTCACTTTAATTTTATATTGATATAAAGTAAAATCGTTGTATGATTTTGTCTATCTCTCCATCAGTTGCTGGCATTACCTGAGCATCAGTACATCTATGAAGGACGTAAGTTATCAGTTCTGTTCCAAATCTATAAATCAATTTTCTTCTAAAACGAAATTGTTAATTTCATTTTCATTCAGGAAACAAACTCCAGCCAATGGGTTAGATGTAAATTTCTACATATACACAATATCTAATAGAACTATAATATAAGGTATTGTTTTCGTTATAAAACTATGTAATGTTTCATTAAAATTTGAATCCCGATTCTAATTATAGCTTCCAACCAGAAACTAAAGTGGTGGACCGAACGTGACTATGCCGCACATTTGTACGCTGATCATGTTTCCAATGCCAGATGTAAATAAATACGTAGTTTGTAATACTAATATATCATATTATTAAAGTTGTATCTTGATAGAGTGATTAAATGACACTTTATTGGCAAATTAAGGTTCAGATCAAATGCGTTTAAGAACAACACATTTTATTTGTTTAACACTATTTTTTATGATTTATCTTTTTTTTCTTATTTTTTATTGGAAATGAGATATGTTAATATATCTGGCATTTATATCAAAGAGGCACTTAATTTCTGTATCAATGGGTTTCGATAAATTAGTAGACGTATCCCCTCCCTCCATGAATACTTATTAGTATTGAAGTTACATGTAGTCTTTCTCTTTTAATCTCATTACATCGGGGTTTTTTTTATTATTATTAATAGCATTGTCGTGGACTGCCAGTAGACACAGTACTTCATTTGTGCGGAATCTGACGCTGTGTGCTGACAGTAGGAACAAACTCACTGTCCCTGACGCTGCTGGTGCTGGACAATACTTCGTTTATTCGATGTTTACATTTGATTTTCATAATCAGCCAACTAGTAAACATAAGCCAGAAATCAATCATTGTATAATAAAAAACAAAGATTACCCGCCAAACTGTTTCGATAAAAACAGGCTGTGGTGGTCCTCTCGTGGTAATATATATATGTCAACTCGGCAGACATCATACCTGAGTGGGGTGGTTAGTTTGAAGCAATCAGACACCATAACTGTTAAAGCGTATTCATTTTATGGAACAGGTTATACAACTGAAAAATATATCGATTATTCCTCACTTTACTTTAATTTCTTCGGAATGTTTAAATTAGATTAATCTAAATCGTTGAAAAGCATTGCATTCATATATTTGTATATATCATATACATATATATTCTTTTCAGATAGCACGTGCATGACATATCTTCACAAATCTATTCACGTGTAATCAATAATCAATCAATTTCAGAATCGATTTATTTGATTCCTTTTGATAAATAAACAATAAGAAACAAAAGAGTTCTGTTCAAAATTTGGAAGCACATATGATTGAAGGCAAAATATCTTATATATATTATATATATACATTCTTGATAAAACAGACATAAAAAATATATTTAGACACCATGGCTCACTTTTGTTTCTTCTTTTAAACACGGACTGGTGTGTTATCGTGGATTGTAGCAAACACAAAGTAAATAGTAACTTTGTATCCATGTTTTTATCTGAAACGGATTTGTTTGTTGAATCAAGTATGATATTGTGTACTGTATCAAAAATAAGATAACAGATTGTTTTATATCCTCTTTTGTAAATATTATCAGCGTAATATAGATTATTACCTAACACATGAAGATGTATGTAACATCAGAAATTTTGGTCCATTCCGGTAGTAAATGGTAACGCTACTTATTTCCAGGTGTCTTCTATGCAATTTCCAACGTAAAAATGAATATGCATCAGTTTAAAATTAGATATATAAACTAAGATATGTTTACATTTAAAATACATGTATTTGGTTATTCAAATTTGTGTCTTTATTATTCCTTCACACGAACCGTCGATCGTGGAGTTGTCGTATACTCATATATGCATTTAAACTTCACCTGTGTGTACAGTTCACCGACGACACATTTCTTTTACCAGCTATTGACAAGGAATTCCACGAATTAAACACTCCTGTGGTTCGGTTTTCCCATGTTCTGTAACTATTTTTAGCATGGTGTTAAACACATTGAGGACAGTCGTAATACCCTGTGTTACTCATGATAATTTCGACTGTGTGGAGTGTATTGTTATGCCTAACTGTTTCAACTATTCCGAAGTCTGTGTGTAGTGATGGAGGACGTTACCAAAACTAAATGTTACATTAGGTTAAAACTGGCGATGAAGGTGTCTTTTATGATGAATGTGGTGTTAGTTGTAGCTCTAACATGTCTTTATATAGCACGGAAAGCAACGTACAGCGATCTCGCGGACATTACACCAAACACATTGTCACAATCACATGCAGAGAAATTACTAGATCGAATATGTCTGTCCTGCTCCTACCTCGATAATGCGGGAAAAGATACTTTATATGACAACGTTTTAGCGACAAGTGGAGGCCAACTGTGTTGCGTTAACGATGAACATGGATTTCAGGATGTACTTTTAAAGGTAGGACTGTTACCTAGATCATATGAAATCATTTGTTTTAACTTAAAAATCAAATTCATTCGGACTATCCATTTAATTATTGTGTTGCACGGTAGTTATTTTTAGATAACTGTGGTATACTATCTCAAGATAACAATTCATATATAGCAAAATAGATGTAGTTTATGAATATGATTACAAAGAATTTACAAAACAGTGTCTGATTTCAAAGCGTTACAAAATATAATTATCCTATATTAAAGATTACATACAGCGTTACTGTTTATACATAATGTATCTATATAATTAACTGATATATCCAATGTTAGTGACTTTTCCCACTCTATATAATCGACTTCAGCACCCCATGTTAGTGTCTTTTCCCACTCTATATAATCGACTTAAGCACCCTATGTTAGTGACTTTTACCACTCTATATAATTGACTTAAGCACCCCACATTATTGACTTTTCCCACTCTATGTAATTGACTTCAGCACCCCACATTATTGACTTTTCCCACTCTATATAATCGACTTAAGCACCCCATGTTAGTGACTTTTCCCACTCTATATAATCCCAGCACCCCATGTTAGTGTCTTTTCCCACTCTATATAATCGACTTAAGCACCCCATGTTAGTGACTTTTCCCACTCTATATAATTGACTTAAGCACCCCACATTATTGACTTTTCCCACTCTATATAATCGACTTAAGCACCCCATGTTAGTGTCTTTTCCCACTCTATATTATCGACTTAAGCACCCCATGTTAGTGACTTTTCCCACTCTATATTATCGACTTAAGCACCCCATGTTAGTGACTTTTCCCACTCTATATAATCGACTTCAGCACCCCATGTTAGTGACTTTTCCCACTCTATATAATCGACTTCAGCACCCCATGTTAGTGTCTTTTCCCACTCTATATAATCGACTTCAGCACCCCATGTTAGTGACTTTTCCCACTCTATATAATCGACTTCAGCACCCCATGTTAGTGTCTTTTCCCACTCTATATAATCGACTTCAGCACCCCATGTTAGTGACTTTTCCCACTCTATATAATTGACTTAAGCACCCCATGTTAGTGACTTTTCCCACTCTATATAATTGACATAAGCACCCCATGTTAGTGACTTTTCCCACTCTATATGATTGACTTAAGCACCCCATGTTAGTGACTTTTCCCACTCTATATAATTGACTTAAGCACCCCATGTTAGTGACTTTTCTCACTCTATATAATTGACTTCAGCACCCCATTTATTGACTTTTCCCACTCTATATAATCGACTTAAGCACCCCATGTTAGTGACTTTTCCCACTCTATATAATCGACTTAAGCACCCCATGTTAGTGACTTTTCCCACTCTATATAATTGACTTAAGCACCCCATGTTAGTGACTTTTCCCACTCTATATAATTGACTTAAGCACCCCATGTTAGTGACTTTTCCCACTCTATATAATTGACTTAAGCACCCCATGTTAGTGACTTTTCTCACTCTATATAATTGACTTCAGCACCCCACATTATTGACTTTTCCCACTCTATATAATCGACTTAAGCACCCCATGTTAGTGACTTTTCCCACTCTATATTATCGACTTAAGCACCCCATGTTAGTGACTTTTCCCCACTCTATATAATTGACATAAGCACCCCATGTTAGTGACTTTTCCCACTCTATATGATTGACTTAAGCACCCCATGTTAGTGACTTTTCCCACTCTATATAATTGACTTAAGCACCCCATGTTAGTGACTTTTCCCACTCTATATAATTGACTTAAGCACCCCATGTTAGTGACCTTTCCCCACTCTATATAATTGACTTAAGCACCCCATGTTAGTGACTTTTCCCACTCTATATTATTGACATAAGTACCCCATGTTAGTGACTTTTCCCACTCTATATTATTGACATAAGTACCCCATGTTAGTGACTTTTCCCACTCTATATAATTGACTTAAGCACCCCATGTTAGTGACTTTTCCCACTCTATATAATTGACTTAAGCACCCCATGTTAGTGACTTTTCCCACTCTATATAATTGACTTAAGCACCCCACATTAGTGACTTTTCCCACTCTATATGATTGACTTAAGCACCCCACATTAGTGACTTTTCCCACTCTATATAATTGACTTAAGCACCCCATGTTAGTGACTTTTCCCACTCTATATTATTGACATAAGTACCCCATGTTAGTGACTTTTCCCACTCTATATAATTGACTTAAGCACCCCATGTTAGTGACTTTTCCCACTCTATATAATTGACTTAAGCACCCCACATTAGTGACTTTTCCCACTCTATATAATTGACATAAGTGCCCTATGATAGTGTCTTTCTCTCACCTGCATTATTTACTTTATTTGGTTTAGTGTTTCCATGCTACAAAGATTATTTATCCAGATGTTTTACGCATCAAACAAATATTTCCTATTCATACATTACTTTCACATATTTAACTTTAAATATTTTTTACTTTCTTCAAATATGGCTTTAGATGCTGAATGAACACCCGGGTGACTTAATCAAACATGCAGCATCAGATGTTGAAGGTATGGTTCTTGCTTATTAAGGATCAAACGCTTCTCTTTTGTTCCATTTCTTGTTTCGTATGAGTTAAGAGGTGAATTGATGATTGATAATCTTAATATGAACATAATGTTCAAATTGAATTATAAATTTGAATTAAGTAGTGGCAAAAGTAATAATGGAAAAAAGTGTACAACATTTCTGAATCCTAAGAAACACAATATATCTATACATCTAAATATATTTCCTTGAGTATTTCTTATTCATTTTTTTTTTAAGTTTTGACGGAATTAATGACTCTTGAAATTGTTGTGCTGACAGATCAAAACGCTGTAAGATCAGAAAAGTATTTCAAGCTGTAAACGATATATCACAATTCACAATGTTCAAGGAAGGTCAAGTACAAAGATGAATCAACACTTTAATAACATTACCGTACGGATATTTTTTTATCACAACTGGTAGTTATCACATCAAATGTCGACTGTAGTTTTACATACTCATTTTCTTTTTTCATTTCCTTTAGAAACTATTCGAAAATTGCAATGGTGGCGAGAAAGAGACTTTTCTGCTCACCTGTACGCAGACTACCACGACGTACAAAGCAAGTATTTCTAAGGATTCCGCGAATATTTACAGTATATTCTTATATTTACGTTAATATAAAATTTTCAAATATTTATTGTATTTCGGCCTGTAACATGAACATAACTTGATGTTTTTGCAATATACAAATTTTCAAACAGAAATTAACATAATCCATTTTGATAACACCGCGTGACAGCATTAGTGGGATAGCGGGGTACAATTGATGTTGTAATTTGGATCATTATCGTGGGTAAAACCAGCACACCAGTAGTCACAAAATTGTAACAGTTTTTTTTAATACATTCCATACTCCAATACACATATGAAATTAACATAGTGATACATCAACAGCTAGTTGGAATTCTTACTACAGAACATAAATTAACATAACAGTAAACATAAATACTCAGAAATTTTATATTAACACTTGAAATACACAAAAGTTTGTTTAAATGGATAACATAATCCATTACTCCAATACACAGACACATTAACCTACTATTAATACCACACTCCAATACACAAAAATTAACATAACCCTCAAACATCATCCATACTCCCATACACAGAAATTAACATAATCCACACTCCAATAAACAGAAATTAACATAATCCATACTCCAATTCACAGAAATTAACATCATCCATACTCCAATACACAAAAATTAACATAATCCACACTCCAATACACAAAAATTAACATAATCCACACTCCAATACACAAAACTTAACATAATCCATATTCCCATACACAGAAATTAACATAATCCACACTCCAATACACATAAATTAGCATAATTCACACTCCAACTAACAGACATTAACATAATCCACACTCCAATACACAAAAAATTAACATAATCCACACTCCAATACACAGAAATTAACATAATCCATACTCCAATACACAGAAATTAACATAATCCACACTCCAATACACAGAAATTAACATAATCCACACTCCAATACACAAAAATTAACATAATCCAAACTCCAATACACAAAAATTAACATAATCCACACTGCAATACACAGAAATTAACATAATCCACACTCCAATACACAAAAATTAACATATTCCACACTACAATACACAAAAAATTAACATAATCCACACTCCAATACACAAAAATTAACATAATCCACACTCCAATACACAGAAATTAACATACTCAACACTCCAATACACAGAAATTAACATAATCCACACTGCAATACACAGAAATTAACATTATCCACACTGCAATACACAGAAATTAACATATTCCACACTTCAATACACAAAAATTAACATAATCCATACACAAAAATTAACATACTCCACACAATACATAATCACAAATTTAACATAATCCACACTCCAATACACATATATTAGCATAATCCACACTCCAATTAACAGAAATTAACATACTCCACACCCCAATACACAAAAAATTAACATAATCCACACTCCAATACACAAAAATTAACATAATCCACACTCCAATACACAGAAATTAACATAATCCACACTCCAATACACAGAAATTAACATAATCCACACTCCAATACACAGAAATTAACATAATCCACACTCCAATACACAGAAATTAACATAATCCACACTCAAAAACACAGAAGTTAACATAATCCACACTTCAATACACAGAAATTAACATTCTCCACACTTCAATACACAGAAATTAACATAATCCACACACAGAAATTAACATAATCCACACCAACATCCACAAAAATTAACATAATCCATACTCCCATGCACAGAAATTTACATAATCCACACTGCAATACACAGAAATTAACATACTCAAAACTCCAATACACAGAAATTAACATAATCCATATTCCCATACATAGAAATTAACATAATCCACACTCCAATACACAGAAATTAACATACTCCACACTGCAATACACAGAAATTAACATATCAACACTGCAATACACACTCCAATATACAGAAATAAACCTAATCCATACACCAATCAACAGAAATTAACATAATCCACACTCCAATACACAAAACTTAACATAATCCATATTCCCATACACAGAAATTAACATAATCCACACTCCAATATTAACACCCCAATACACAGAAATTAACATAATCCACACTCCAATACACAGAAGTTAACATAATCCACACTCCAATACACAGAAGTTAACATAATCCACACTCCAATACACAAAAATTAACATAATCCACATTCCAATACACAAAAATTAACATAATCCTTACTCCAATACATGGAAATTAACATAATCCAGACTCCAAAACACAGAAATTAACATACTCCATACTCCAATACACAGAAATTAACATAATCCACACTCCAATACACAAAACTTAACATAATCCATATTCCCATACACAGAAATTAACATAATCCACACTCCAATACACATAAATTAGCATACTCCACATCCCAATACACAAAAAATTAACATAATCCATACTCCAATACACGGAAATTAACATAATCCACACTCAAAAACACAGAAGTTAACATAATCCACACTTCAATACACAGAAATTAACATACTCCACACTTCAATTAACAGAAATTAACAAACTCCAGACTCCAAAACACAGAAATTAACATACTCCATACTCCAATACACGGAAATTAACATAATCCACACTCCAAAACACAGAAGTTAACATAATCCCACTCCACACATAATCCACACTCCAATACACAGAAATTAACATAATCCACACTTCAATACACAAAAATTAACATAATCCATACCCCAATACACGGAAATTAACATAATCCACACTCAAAAACACAGAAGTTAACATTCTCCACACTTCAATACACAGAAATTAACATACTCCACACTGCAATACACAGAAATTAACATATCAACACTGCAATACACAGAAATTAACATACTCCACACTGCAATACACAGAAATTAACATACTCCACACTTCTATACACAGAAGTTAACATAATCCACACTTCAATAAACAGCAATTAACATAATCCATACTCCCATACACAAAAATTAACATACTCCACACTGCAATACACAGAAATTAACATAATCCACACTTCAATACACAGAAAATAACATTCTTCACACTTCAATAAACAAAACTTAACATATTTCACACTACAATACACAAAAATTAACATAATCCACACTCCAATACACAAAACATTAACATAATCCACAATCCATTACACAAAATTTAACATAATCCACACTCCAATACAACAGTAATTAACATAATTCACACTCCAATACACAAAAATTAACATAATCCACACTCCAATACACAGAAATTAACATAATCCACACTCCAATACACAGAAATTAACATAATCCACACTCCAATAAACAGAAATTAACATAATCCATACTCCAATTCACAGAAATTAACATCATCCATACTCCAATACACAAAAATTAACATACTCCACACTTCAATAAACAGAAATTAACAAACTCCAGACTCCAAAACACAGAAATTAACATACTCCATACTCTAATAAAAAGGAATTAACATAATCCACACTTCAATACACAAATATTAACATAATCCATACTCCAATACACGGAAATTAACATAATCCACACTCCAATACACAAAAATTAACATAATCCACACTCCAATACACAAAAATTATTATAATACATACTTCAATACACAAAAATTAACATACTCAAAACTCCTATACACAAAAATTAACATACTCAAAACTCCAATACACAAAAATTAACATAATCCACACTCCAATACACAGAAATTAACATAATCCACACTCCAATACACAAAAATTAACATAATCCATACTCCAATACACAAAAATTAACATACTCAAAACTCCAATACACAAAAATTAACATAATCCATACTCCAATACACAAAAATTAACATAATCCACACTCCAATAAACAGTAATTAACATAATCCATAATCCCATACACAGAAATTTCATAATCCACACTGCAATACACAGAAATTAACATAATCCACACTCCAATACACAGAAATTAACATAATCCACACTCCAATACACAGAAATTAACATAATCCACACTCCAATACACAGAAATTAACATATCAACACTGCAATACACAGAAATTAACATAATCCACACTCCAATACACAGAAATTAACATAATCCATACTCCAATACACAAAAATTAACATATTTCACACTACTATACACAAAAATTAACATACTCAAAACTACAATACACAAAAAATTAACATAATCCACACTCCAATACCCAAAAATTAACATAATCCATACTCCAATACACAAAAATTAACATAATTCACACTTAACATAATCCATCCAATACACGGAAATTAACATAATCCACACTGCTGCAATACACAGAAATTAACATAATCCACACTCCAAAACACAGAAGTTAACATAATCCATACTCCCATACACAGAAATTTTCATAATCCACACTGCAATACACAGAAATTAACATACTCCACACTCCAATACACAGAAATTAACATACTCCACACTCCAAAACACAGAAATTAACATACTCCACACTTCAATACACAGAAATTAACATAATCCACACTCCAATACACAGAAATTAACATAATCCACACTCCAATACACAGAAATTAACATAATCCACACTCCAATTACACAGAAAATTAACATAATCCACACTCCAATACACAAAAATTAACATACACAGAAATTAACAACTCCACACTCACAAAAATACACAAAAATTAACATAATCCAAAAATTAACACTCCAATACACAAAAATTAACACACTCTACACTCCACATACTCTACACTCCACAAACTCTACACTCCACAATCTCTACACTCAACATCCTCTACACTCCAAACTCTACACTTCACAATCTCTACACTCCACAATCTCTACACTCCACATACTCTACACTCCACAATCTCTACACTCCACAATCTCTATACTCCACATACTCTACACTCCACAATCTCTACACTCCACAATCTCTACACTCCAATCTCTACACTCCACAATCTCTACACTCCACA